GCAGCCTCAGGCTGCAAAGGTGGAAAAGCATCTCCAGGCAGGACATACGCGTTGGCAAAACAGGGAGGTGAAGGTGGTGCTGGAGGCGTGTCTGCAGCCCCTGCTCCCCTGAGTCCCAGAGGGGGCTGTGCTGTGAGCCGTGACCGGTCACACGGGCAGCCTCTGTTTTTTTTGGGGCAATTAACATGCGACTCCGTTCTTTTGTCTTAAATAAGTGTATTTCTGGGCTGTCTTCTCTCCTGGGGGATTCTGGAAGGTTGTAAAGCCCTCCAGAAGCCAGCAGGACCCTCAGAGTCCGGTGCCTGAGCTGAGGGGGATTTGCGGGTTGGCAGGACTAGGGCAGAGGAGCGCTGGCAGAGCAGGCACGCTGGGCCCAGGGGCACGCGCTCCGTTGAGCAGTTGAGCCAGGGGCTTCGTCTCCCGGGTGGGTGGGGGTTCAGTGCTGGGAAGGCACTGGCACTAGTGCTGCAGCACTTTTCCAGAATAAAGGGTTTATTCTCCTGACAGTTGGGTAGACGGCGACTCTCTTCAAAGCCCCCTTGCAGGGCATGAGGCAGCCATATAAACCTGCAGTAGCTCCTCTGGAAACAGCCTGATTTGTGTTGAAAGGGGTCTCCTGCTGCCAATATTACCCTATTTCTGAGTGGGTCGGTGTGGCTTTCCGCAGGCTGGGAAGGTGCTCTGTTGGATCTCTGCAGGAGCTGGGCACTAGTGGGGAACGGAGGGTTTTGCACCGTTTTCCTCCTCGGGGATATTTCTTTTTCACTTGGGCAGTTGTCAGTTCCTGATGCATCGACAGTTTTTGGACGAGTAGCTTGGAGCTGGCAGCAGCCTTCCTGTGGGGTGGGGTCATGGCAGCGCTCCTGCCTCTCTGTGGCTGCCTCTTTTCCCCCTGCCTCACACTCCCTGTTTGGTACTTGCAGCCCTGTGGGCTGTGGTCCCCTCCTGGATCTCTTCCCTCGTTCTTCACAAGTGCTGCTGGGTCTGGGCTTGCAGCCTTCTGCCCCGCAGGACATGCCGTGTGGCAGGGAGGGCTCCCCGGAGTCCCTGGTGCTTTATCTTCTGCACTGTGAACCCTGGTGCTGGGGGAGGTTTGGGGGGCAGCCCTTCACAGGGTCCCAGAAAAGTCCTCTGTTTCTCCAGGTCCAGGCGTGCGGAAAAAAATCAAGGGCTCCAAAGACGGAAAGAAGAAGGGGAAGGGGAAAAAGATGGCAGGCTTGAAATTCCGGTTTGGAGGAATCCCCAGCAAAAGGAAAAAGGGCTCCTCTGTAAGTGCCACCTTTCCTGCACAGGGCCTTGGGTGCGGGGCTGGGTGGCAAGAAAATACTGGGATGGGCTCTCCCCTGGAAGCTGCCCTCGCGTGGGGGTGTCACAGCCTCGCTTTTGCCCCTCTGGAAGGGCCCAGTCTCCGCGGAGTCAGCGCGTTCATTTATCCCTTTGATAGAGAGCTCTGTCCAGGCTCAGATTTGTAAAGATGTCGTGTCTGGGCACAGTTTCTGCTAAAATCATATAACCACGTTTACTTTCAGCGATGAGGTTGATAATGCCATCATTTCAGATCTCGTTTGCAAAGGAATTCTTCAGGGCTTGCACTGCAGCTGAACCGGACGTCAAAGGGAATTATCGAATGCTTTAATTGTGTTAGCCCAGCCTGCCTCCGGGCATCTGCAATCCCGCAGCATAGCCTGGGGCACCAGAGCTTCCCAGTAAGAACCACGTTTACTTTCAGCGATGAGGTTGATAATGCCATCATTTCAGATCTCGTTTGCAAAGGAATTCTTCAGGGCTTGCACTGCAGCTGAACCGGACGTCAAAGGGAATTATCGAATGCTTTAATTGTGTTAGCCCAGCCTGCCTCCGGGCATCTGCAATCCCGCAGCATAGCCTGGGGCACCAGAGCTTCCCAGTAAGAGCAGGGCAACAGGGCTCTACGGCGGTTTTTGTGCCGTGCGCTTGTCACCATGTGACTATCTGGCACGTTTTAGAGAATAGCAGAGTATTTTCAAGTATAAAACTCTTTTAACTATTGAATAGGGGTGGAGCTCCTGTAGGTCTTGATAACATTGTCAATCAAAATCCTGTTAGTTCACTCTTATTGGAGCTCCCTGGCTCTCTAGCTCTGGTTCACGTAACACAACCTGTTTGTAAACGCCGTTGTGCGCCAGAGGCTGAAGCGAAAGGAGCCGTGCCAGGCTGCCACTGGCTGCTGCCTTTTTTCAGTCACACATCACAAAAAGTTCATCCCTTCTCGGGGTGCACTCAGATCTGGGTGTTCTGGTGCTTAGCGCTCCAGCTAAGTGCTTTGCTTTTCCCCTCTGCAGAGCGAGGAGGAGGAACGGGAGGAATCCGACTTCGACAGCGCCAGCATCAACAGCTCCTCAGTGCGCTCCGAGGGCTCTGCTGGCCTGGGGAAGAGAGGGAAGAGGAGGAGAAAGAAAAAGAGGAGTAGGCCATCCTTTGTACTCTGTTCCCATTCTGTTTGAATTTCCCTCTTCACATGGTGCTTTCCTGGCGTTGGCAGCTCCAGCCGGGTCTGGCGCTGGCTCAGTGGGAGAGGAGGAGCTTGTGCGTGGCGT